CACACACGCCATACCCACTCACTATCACACACGCACTCACTATCACACACGCCATACCCACTCACTATCACACACGCCATGCCCACTCACTCACACCACGCCATGCCCACTCACTATCACACACGCCATCCCACTCACTATCACACACGCCACCCACTCACTACACACACGCCTCACTCACTATCACACACGCACGCCATGCCCACTCACTATACACACGCCATGCCCCACTCACTATCACACACGCCATACCCACGCCATGCCCACTCACTATCACACACGCCATGCCCACTCACTATCACACACGCCATACCACTCACTATCACACACGCCATGCCCACTCACTATCACACACGCCATGCCCACTCACTATCACACACGCATCACAACGCCATGCCCACTCACTATCACACACGCCATGCCCACTCACTATCACACACGCCGCATCACACACGCCACTCACTATCACACACGCCATGCCCACTCACTATCACACACGCCATCTCACTATCACACACGCCATGCCCACTCACTATCACACACGCCATGCACTATCACACACGCCATGCCCACTCACTATCACACACGCCATACCCATCACTATCACACACGCCACACGCCATGCCCACTCACTATCATACACGCCATGCCCACTCACTATCACACACGCACTATCACACACGCCATGCCCACTCACATCACACACGCCATGCCCACTCACATCACACACGCCATGCCACACACGCCACCCACTCACTATCACACACGCCATACCCACTCTCAACACGCCATGCACACGCCATGCCCACTCACTATCACACACGCCATGCCCACTCACTATCACACACGCCATGCCCAATCACACACGCCATGCACACACGCCATGCCCACTCACTATCACACACGCCATGCCCACTCACTATCACACACGCCATGCCCACTCACTATCACACACGCCATGCCCACTCACCACACACGCCATGCACACGCCATGCCCACTCATATCACACACGCCATGCCCACTCATCACACACGCCATGCCCACTCATCACACACGCCATCACTCCACACGCCCACTCACTCTCTTCACCTCATAATGCCTTTGTGCCGCGCAACATCGAAAACTATATTGGCCTTTGTCTTTAGTGTTTGTCTGACCTCATGAAACTGCCACATTGAAAATGAGTAAAAAATTTAGGATATGATTTTCCTGTTCATATATTTATTTCCTTGTTTGTCGTCTGTTCTTCCTGTCTCCCTCCTCCCTTTCCTCCACTCCCCTTCTCCCCCTCTCTGTTTATCAATCTATCCGTCTTCTCTGTTTCTTTCTTTTCTCCCTTTCTTTTTCTTGAAAGCTGTTTGTGCTAGACATTCTTTTTGTACGTATGTATTACTTTTATTTTTTTTTTTTCTCTCTCTCGCCTTCTACCTCTGCGCTCTCGCACTCTCTGTCTATCTACTATCTTTTCGGTCTCTCTCTCTCTCTCTCTCTCTCTCTCTCTCTCTCTCTCTCTCTCTCTCTCTCTCTCTCTCTCTCTCTCTCTCTCTCTCTCTCTCTCTCTCTCTCTCTCCTCTCTCTCCTCCCTCCCTCCCCACTTCCTGGTCCATTGAGAGCTTGAAAGTGTGGGAGAAAACCTAATATAAATATACAGCTATATTTATCATCCACTACGGGACTCCAGTTATAATACTTCAGAAAAAGTAAGACTGATAAAAAAAAAAAAAAAACATACAGGCACGTCTACCAATAACAACGAACAAAACAAAAAAGTTAAAAAAAGGATATTAGACCAAATTGGAAACCGAGCCAGCGGAACGGACCTCTCAAACGCAACTGGGATAAAGAGGAAATACCGGAGCTGGCCAAAATGGTTTGCAAAACTCCACACAGCACAACAGTCTTTCTCTCCCATCCCTGATAGATGAACGGTGCCAGCTACCACTATTATATTTCCATTAAGGTTCCACGGGCAGGCAGGTACACCCAGGCTTGTGTCAGTCAAAACAGATGGCGCTGGAGGAAAATTTCGTTATTTCCCTAAAGGTTGTTTGCGAGGAATATTGTGTGTAAATAGGCAGTTACCGTAGTGGAAAGTACAGGGCTTGTCATCATTTGCGATTGGAAGTGAGCGAATATGTGTGAGATTAATACAGGAGAAAAAAAAAGGTTTAAACGGATGGATATGTATATTGGTAGATAGATTGGTAGGTAGATTGATGGGTAGGTTGGTAAAAAAGATAGACATAGATTAATAGGAAAGTGTAGGGGTATATGATTATTCATTTATTCATACGCGCAAACGCAATAGGCACACACACACACACACACACACACACACACACACACACACACACACACACACACACACACACACACACACACACATACACACACACACACACACGCATATGTATATATGAATATATATATATATATATATATATATATAATATGTGTGTGTGTGTGTGTGTGTGTGTGTGTGTGTGTATGTATGTGTGT